CCCCTCGGGTTTTCAAGGTCTGGGAACAGATGAATAGAGAAAGCTGGTTTTGCGTCTGGTGAGCAGATAATGTGCTGAATTGCTCGTATGTGTTGGATCATTATTCTGCTTAAAGAACTAATGAAGACCCATTTCCAGTTTATTGAGCAATTCCAACAATTCCAACAGGAATTTTAGGTTAAATATCATTGTCTTTCACATAATTCATAATGTCCTCCAGAGCAAAATTGATTCCCACAGCCTTTGGAAAAACAAGCCCAGAGCGTCACAGATCCTCCACCATACTCAATACAGAGCACCAGGGATGGTTTTCCTCATCCTCCTTGGTTTCATGCTAAACCAACAAAATGTTTTTGCTGAAATAAAAAAAAAACTAAATTATAAAAAAGCTTTCAGAACAAAAGCAGCAACTTCCTGAAACACTTCTTGATACTGGATAGACCAACCAACGATGGTTTGGACAGTGCTGCACCCACCTTGGCAGGAGGAGAGCTCAGTGAAGACATTTGTTGAACTTTGACCACAGTGTGTTGTGATGCACACTCAGTACTGCAAACAGCCCTACTATGTTGTGTGACCGACTGTCTGCCACTCAGAGGGATAACCAGACACTCCCACTGCCCCCGCAGCCACAAACCGCTTTTTGATGCAAAATTATGTCTCTAAACTTGTCTGAACTGTAGTGAAAGGAGACAAAAGCTGAACATTCCATCATTTACATTCTCACATTGGGAAAAGTCAACAGCAGCATTATCCACACAATGACGGCATGGTTGTGATAAAATCTATGGCAGGCTTTAATATTGCACTATCTCTGTCTGCTTACATTATGGAAAAGTCACTTAAGAAAACTTTAACTGCTTGAAAATATTGTCTCAGCCCAGGCCATGGTCAAGACATTAAATGTTAATTTCATTCTTTTGTTTCTGTGTTGATCTTGGATTTATGCTTGTTGCAGTGCAGCTTACAGATCACTTGTAGGGTTTTAAATGAAAAGTTTATGGCCCATAGCATTTTCAAAAGGGAAACGTTTTACCTCCCTGGGAATAGTAGCTGCTAAGAGCTGAGATGCCCATTTGAAATGTTTTAGGCCCCTAAAGCCTTTCTTTTCCGACCAGTCTTTGTTTTGTTGTGTGATTCACTGACAACATGAAGATCTCCATAGCAACATTTCAAATTGTAAGACATGTTGACTCAAATGAATTTCAATTTTAATTTTGAAATTTTCTTTGTTACCTTATCAGGTGTTTTAAATTCTTGCTTGTTTGGATTTTTCTGGATGTATTGCTATGGTTCTGTTTGCTCATTGTCTTCCAAGATGCCTGCTGAGTATTTTTTGTGACAAATACCCTATAAATACAGGATATCTATACAAAATTCCTCATGACCCAGAAAAAGAAGCCAGTGATTGTGGAAAAAGAGCTTCTTCATCAGTTCTACACTCATAGCGTCTCATCATGAATTTATTTTGCTTGCCGTTTCTCTTCCTCTCCGTTTCACTGGCACAGTAATAACACAAACAAATACATCATAGTTGGACACATCACAGCTTTGCACAGGGAAACAGAAAATTGTGGATTGTGAATTAAATGTTCACAGAAACTGATCAACTTGAGAAAAGTGCTTAAATAATGTTTTTTTTTTTTAAATTAAAGGAATGGTTAGGGGTACCTGTAATTGTGTTCCTGGTGATCTTGTTGAAAACTGTTATTTTCTTATTGACATGCTGTGTAAATATACTAAACATTTTAACTCTAGATCGTACCGTAATACCACAACATAATGTCTTTTCACTCATCTTTTACCAGGAATGCTTTTTTTCGGGTCTCTTATTGTTAAAACTGTTTTGTCATTAAGTTCTTTAGTACTGCAACTTAATTTTCTTTGTTCACTGCTCAATCCTGACCTACGTTTGCTGTTCATGTTCCTTATAATCCACCTTGTTTGGCCCTCTCTCTGCCACACCTTCTTCTCTGCTCTGAACTTTGAGCTACAAGCTCGTTTCTCTCTTTATTAACAGTTTAATTTGTTTGTTTATCTCCTCCCAGCTGCCTGCTCAGACCTGCACTTGAGTCCTTTTCTAACAATGGAAATAGACCCGCCAGCGGGGTGGTGGAAACCAACGCATTAAAGATGCTGTTGCAGTAAAAAGGCGAATCCATCTTGTCTCTGTGCTGTGTCACTGTGCTGTGATGATAACAGCAAGCAAAAGTAATGACTGGCTCCAAACGTGCATCAATCTGAGCCGCAGTGTGAGATGATTTCTGTGCATAACAAAATCCTTTTTCTGAGTCAGACATCGCTTTTTATCAACAAAAGTTAATAAAAAGCAGTTTTTTACATGAGTTACCTTCATAAAATCCATGCGAAGGTTTGCTTTTATTGAAATTACTGGAAGTTCTAGTCTCTTATTGTTGCCAGGGACAAAGTTTGAAGTTACCAAGATGAAGCATTGCTGTGTTTCTACTCAGCACAACTTTATTATGCTACAGTCAGATGTTTCTGATGTTCAAGTCTGAACATCAGAAACAGAAAAGAGGAAAAAGTCCTTGATAAGGACACTATGTGCAAACAGTTTACAAAAGCCCAGTTCTTCTGTATCACTAATTCTATAAAAGCTATAAATCCCAACAACTTTATTGCAAACTTTGAGTCAAACTAAATCTGAAAGATTCAGAAGATAAGAAATAATTTAAGCTTCAAGGAATTTAAAAGTAAAACAATATTTAAGTTTTTTTCAGTAAAAGAATCGTCTAACTTAATGTTAGACAATTGCTGCACTATCATCTCTGCTTTGGAACCCAGCAAGAAGCAGCAAATGTTTTATTTTAAATAACTAAAGGTTTTAGGCTCTTTATTGTGACCGACTGTGGTAACTTCAGGTAACAGATGTGTGCTTCTGTGTGTAGTTTGTTTTGTTTTCTTATTCCAGTGTTGGACTTTCTCTCTTTTCATTTGTAGATCCTTTTCTGTCTAGTTCAGCTCCCTGTTTGCTTTCAATGTTAAGCAGCACACACTGTGAGATTTGTAACCTATTTCTCGGTCTATCTGTCCATAATATGTTTTTAACTTGTGCTTATTAAAGTAAGCATAAGTTAATATGCTTACTTTAACTTAATGTGACTTAACTAACTTCAGTTGCATTAAGTTAATTGTGACGTAATGGGTTACAATTAAAAAAGTTAATAATGGGTTACAATTAGCTTAATTGCAAGCAGTCATTATTGTGGGTTACAATTGACTGTAACACTACATGTTTATACTGATGTTGCTAAATTCATATTGTTTATTTTGTACCATTGTACCATGCATATGTCTAAAGATGAGTTTCTTACCAGACACCACATTAAATTACTTCCAGGGATACAATTAAGGACTTATTAACATGCATGACGTGATTATTACTATTTCTGTTCACACATAATATATTGTGGTTCTTTTTCACAATCAAAAGGAAAATGAATGAATGCAAACGTTCCAAGTATTTCAGATTGCTTTATATACACACTTTTAACAATAATGACACTGATGTATGAAAAATTTTAATCTTTCGGTTTTAAAAAGGCTTTTTCTCCTGAAGGTTAAGTTTGTGGCTTTCATTTGAAAAGCAATCACTTTTCTGTCAGAATGGTTTAAAACTTTATTTAAAAACGTCTTTCAGTTGTTTTGCAAAAGAAAAGAAGCTAGAAATCTGAAAACTGGCATATTATCTCAACGGGCTTGTAACAACTAATTACAATAATGTAATTAGTTGTTACAAGGATGTACACTATCTGCTAAAATATCCATATGCCAGTTAAACATTATCAAATTTGATACATAACTTAAACTTCAGTGTAATTTTATCTGATACTACAACACAAAGCAGTCAGTTAATCAATAAGTAAAGTTTATCTTTGTATGATTTCACCTCAATATGAATACAGCTTTTCTATAGAAACAGCATCACAAAGACCAAGGATCACAGAAGACAAGTCAGGAGTAAAGCTATGTGGAAATGTAAGAGGGTTAGGTTAAAAGTCAGTATTTTGAGTTTTTAACATGTAATAGAAAAATGTTCAATCTTTAAAGAACAGTTAAAAGGTGCAGGAGAAAAATCCATTTATCTGTCGGATGAATAAACTACAGAAATCTGACCGTTATGGAAGAGTGGCAAGAAGAAAGCCACTATAAGAGAGCCATAAGAAGTCATGTTGAACATGTTGAACAAGGTGTTCATGCTGACATACGGTGGCAGCATCATGGGTGTAGTGAATTACATATCACTACACGCAACAACATTTTAATATAAATGTTGTTGCAACATTTCTATTAAAATGTTTTATGAGAAGAAAACTAAATATGGTGTAAAAGCCCTCCAACATACAGCCATGGAATAAGTGTGAAGAGGAAGAGTAAACCCTGCAGATTTCAAAGAAATAAATTTTAAACTTTGTGCACCCAAACCTGTAGAAAACAAACAACAAATCTGATGATATTTGACTAAATGAGCCTCAGTCATGCTGGCTCAACCCAACTCATGTCAGAGTGTCTTATCCAAACAGTCACCAGACAGAAGTACCACTTGAAAAAAAAAAAAAAAAAACATGGCGAAAGTAAATCGAATTTATACAGTACAACATCTGCAGCATATGGATTTGTTGTGTCAATGTGTAACTAGCACCCCTCGGAGACAGCAGCATCATGTTCGGCAGACTATCCTTATTAGCTTGTTTGCATTCACAGCGGATCCCAAGCGGCAGCTAAAGCGAGAGATGCTGTCGGACAGCCCTGCATTATATACAGCCTCATCAGCAGATACACAATGCACAAGCAGGCAGTCAAAAAAGGCTCCCTTTTACGATCTCTTCCACGCCTCACCGTCACATCGACACTTACAGAAGGACATGCCATGTGCATAATCCTTTAAGTGTTGTGATAACTAATCTTTATTGCATCCACACTAACATATGTGTATTAATCGCAGGGTGACCAGAGGTGAAAGTAAAAGAGACACTAACTTTCTTTTTGAGATGCTGGCAGATGTCCTGCTGTTGCTGGCGGTCTCTGTGGTGCTCCAGCTCCTCCTGGTGGGCGTGTTTCGCCTCTTGCAGCGTGTCCAGGGCCCTGTCCAGGAGCTCCTGCGTGTCTCGCTGCCACTGCTGGGTCATGACTCTTATTTGTTTCTGGATGAATCGATGCATGTCACAGATACGTCCATGTTTCAACTGAAATCAAAAGAAGGAACACCGATATAAGGCCATGTCTTCATGTGTTCATTTTTAAACTTCATCTGTGCCATGGATATATTTATTTTCATCACATGCAAATGTTTTCAGATCACCCACCTAAATAAATGCAAAAAACATTTTTTTAATTTATTCATTTATTAAGATAACCTAATCATAACAGGTTACGTAAAAAAAAAAAAAAATCACAATTTGGTTCTGTTTGGAATAACAATATTCTAGTGATTGTGGTGCTTTCACGTCACTATGAAGGAATTTTGAACTTTACCTGGGCCAACCCACAACCTTCACTTCACGTTTTGCAGCTATTAAGGGATGTTTTTTTTTTTTTTGTTATGTACTTTAGATAATTTTCTGCTGCACATGAGCACAACTCAAGTGCAGCACCCAGCTGACAAACTGGGTGGATGTTCTGTGCCAGATTTTTCAGCTATAAAGCAGAATTTACAGTTCCAGAATGTATAATCAGGTTATCCAGATCCTTATGCAGCAATTTTGTCTTACACAATTGATATTTTAAAGTATTGAGCACCGAGTCACTCTTAATTGTGTCATGATTATATTCATTTTGTGTTTTTGGAAAGAAAACTGACCTGACCCTCTTCAGTGTAACTAAATCCACCAAATAGCATAAAGTCCATTGGTTTGATTGAATGACCCCACTGTTTGACGCTCTGTCTGATGGGTATTTTTAAACATAAACACTGTCCAGTTTTAGACCAGATGCATCACTATTTCAGAGAATGCTTTATTAAAAATATTAGGGATCATTAGGAAGGTTTTTGATAATCATGACAAGGGCCTCGTGTTCTTTTTTTATTTTTAACAGGGAGCTCTCCCAATTTTGCCCAGTATCCTGTCGTTGAATGATGAATGCTGACATTAGTTTGGTTTTGATCGTTTTACACAAGTCACCTTTGTCTGATATCAATAATGTCTCGATAATCTAAAGAAAATGTGGCAAAAAGTTAGAAAACAAGAAGAGAGCAACTAACATGAAAGAACACAAGGAGTATTCTTATATGATTTTTTTTTTAAATAATGCTGAAGAAGACAATAAAAATTGAGTCATTGCAGCCAAATCCTGCTTGTTCTGAATTATGCACCAAATTTATGACGCGTTGCAAAAATTTCACAAACATTCTTGCATGACACACTGTCTACACTAAAGACAGCATTACCACAGGAAAACCTTTGTGCCTGATCGAGCTCTGCAGGGGTATAAAACCATCCCTCCCTCCTGGCTGTGAAATGTTCTGAAGGAAAACAGTTCTTTTTGGTGTGAGGACTGCCCATAGCTATTCATCATTGTGTCAGCACACTCAGAGGCTGCACCACTTGGCTGCCTCATTGGAACAGAGGGAATGATATTCATCTATGGACTAATAGCAGCTAACTGACAGTGTGAAGGCATTAGACGGCTGACTGGTTTTATTGAAAATGAGTGAGCTGACAGACCCGCCGTCGCAACAGAAGTGGCAGGATTGGTCATGCGAATCTTGTTTATTAATGTGCAACTTTGAAAGATTCACCTTTTTATTCTTCATTCCTGCCCTCTCCTTCACCATACCTGGTTTAACTTGTGCTTTTAGATGCAATGAGCATAAAAACATAAATTAACGCAAAGACACAAATTAGAATAAAGACTCCTGGTTTATGCACGGCTTCTCTGTGTCCATACATCCAGGTTGTCTATTGAAATCAGTTATGGCATATGGATGCATCGAGCTGTACAGAGCCTTCTCTACAGCTTGAAGTGTGGCAACACTTTGCTTCAGTGATGCACATTTCATCTGTGAAATTCTGCTGCATTCGCGATGTCTTAGTTGTGCAGAAAACAGAAAGAATGAGGAAACAGAATCAAATATATATAGAAGCACAAAGTGCCTCAAACGTTTTTCATGGTCTTTCTCTTTCAGTTGATAAATTTAATATAATTTATTGGAATTTTATGTAATACAAAGAATTGATTCATGTGACACAAAGAAGCACATCATTGTGAGGAGCAAGGAGAATTGCATATGGTTTTCCTTTTTTTTTTCTTTTACAAATAAACAACACTTGCTTTTATGATTACCCCTTTATACCTTAATACCTTAAACCTTCTGTCAAAAGACACCTAAGCATTATTTAAAAATACTCACCTATGAGGGTATTAGGTGTTTAATAGAGTAATCAGTGGACAAACAACATATAAAACAATTTCCAAAGTTTGAATAGTCCTCCAAGCACTGTTAAATCTATCATATGAAGGTGATAGATTCATAGGACATATATTCCCATTAACCAATGGGAATATATGCATTGTGTATTTCTAAACTGATAGGGTGGGCAAAAGCTAACCAGAAAAGCAACCCACATTAACTCTGGAGGAGCTACAGAGAGTTACAGCTGAGAGGGGAAAATCTCAAAAGTAATGGGAAATTGGAAAAGAACAAAGCCATTGATAATCCAGTTATTTGCTGTGTTAGCTGCCAGTTAGAAGGACTTTGACGGGGCCTCTCCAGAACATCCCTTGTTTTCTGCAAACCCTTTCTCTGTAGATTTAGCTGGGTGTTTTACATTGTTCCACTGGGGGGAAAAAAGTCTCTTTGAAGCCATAGTTCTTGTGCCGACAGAAACACATTGTCTTCCAGGCTTCTGTTTCAGTAGTAAGCTGTGGTGGAAACACATTTATTACCTTCTACCTAACTTGGTCGATCACACAAAATCTGGTAAAATTTTGCATATGACATCTTATGATATGAAAGACAATAAAATACCCCATCCAGCAGAGGGAGTTCTTGACAAAGTGAGCCCAAGTCAAATCACCTGACAATAAAACCTCGGAGATTAGTTCAACTTTAGGTCAGCAAGACAGTCGCAAAATGCAAATCTTCATCATGTGCTATGTATTATACATAAACTGTGGGTATTTCTTTGCACATCTAAAGAATGGCAATTTTTTCTTTTTTTTTTATTTAAGCCTGCTTCAATGTTCTCTGCAACTTCGTCTCTGAACTGTCTTCTGTGTTCCTTGGTTTTCATGATGGTGTTTGTTTACCATGTTCCCAGTAGAAGTCAGAGGATAGTGGATAGTTTTGCAAGCCGTTGTTTATTGAACATAGCCAAACACACTCGCAGAAGTTTAGTGGAACTAAACAATCACCTATAGAGGTTCATGGATACTGATCTATTCATGTTCATCTAGACATCAGAAGAAAGACTCTCTAAATTACATAAGTTAAAAGCTATTTAAAAAACCTGATAGCACACTATCATCTGTACATCTAATCAGAGGGGTTTCACAAAATCTATCTATGCCCACACTGATTAGCAAGTCAGTTAAATTATGACTAATAGCTGAATTAGGTGGAGTCAGAGCTGGAAAGTGCAGAGCACAGTGGAAGACATGTCTCCTCCCTCTCGCAACACCCCCGAGGCTGAATGATCACAGCTCTAAATGCGGTACCCAGCTGGAACTGATATGACGACAGGTCTCTGGATGCGGGCAAGAGGAGGAGAGAGGGCCTGACGGTTGTCATGGCGATACGAGACGGTGGCTGGAGCCAGCCGTCCACAGTGTGTGACATGGCACATCCTGCAGCGTGCTGAGCGGATCATTGTCTAGGCTTATCTCAGTTCAGGGTGCTGAGCTACATTGATCAGGGAGACTGGGACTCACACTGGAGGGCTGCTTCTGACAGAGTGGGTCAGGATAGGGGTGAGGGAGTGGCATCTGCAAATGACTGCATCAATATAAAAGATTATAAATGGAGGTTATGTGACTTTTTTTTATTTGCAGCAGAATACATTAAGCACAACCCGTGGTATTCCCCTCTGTCAGTCAGAGGTGAAAGTTAAAGGTTTACTTAAAAATAAGGAAAAACTCAAAGTCCAGATGTGAATCCACATTAATGTACCACACAGGAATTACATAAAAACAGACAAGTTGCAGGAGGATATAAAAAATAGCTCTCTGACTGAGATAGTTTAATGCAGGAGAGTTGATTGCTGAACAAGGAGTAGGAGTTTGATTAGAAACTGAATGGAGATGTGAGGGAAGTCAAGTATCTTAAGTTGAACTGATGCTGTATTCCAGTTAACTCAGAAGTTGGAACACGGTTTGACATCACAGCTGAGTTAACATGACTGCTAACACAGCTGGTGAAGTCAGGCTTTCAACATAGCAAGGCTGAAGTCAACATCGTTTGCAATACCTATTCTCAACATTATTCTATGTCATACTTTCTATAAGCAAACATCACTGTTCATTGATTCATTTTAGAGTTGCAGGTGCTATGTGATGGAATCTTACATAAAAATGTTTCCACCACAGTTTACTACTGAAACTACCACTTTCCCAACAGGAAAACCTGAAGTTTTATCACATTTTATCAAGTAAACTTGATGGAACCTATCAAGTTTTACTTGATAAACTTTGGACATCAAGTTTATTTGGTGTGACATCAAGTAAGCTTGATGTTACTTTGGACATCAACTGGAGGGTTTTCCAGTTGATGTCCAAGTATGTTGATTCCCACTTCTGACAACAAACAGAAAACAAATGGAGAAACATGGCTGTTAGAAAATACTGGAAACATGGGAAACAAGGAAATAGAAATGTAACAATCCCAAGACAGGAGAAATGGTCAAGATTCACAACAAGTTTGAAGAGACAAAATAGATAAGACCTAAAATATTATTCTTTGTTAGCACCACGAGTGGGAAATTTGAAGTTTAAAATATTCAAAGAAGCATACCAAGAGACTGTCACTAAGAGCTAAATAAAAACACATCTCAAGAATTGAACCAAATGTGAAAAGCAAATACTGACAAATCCTAAAATGTGCACAAAACCAATGTCCCAAAGTTTATGACATCCTCACAGTTTTGCAGAGGTCCACACAACAAATAAGCAGACCTTCTCAGTTGAATTTATATTTTTAGACAAAACCCCATTATTTGAAATGGTAATAAAAGCTACAAAGCAAGGACAAAGCAAATATCCTCAAGATGTTGTGTTCACTGAGATAATTCTGAGTAATATCTTACATTTTGAGAATATGTTGAATAATTAGCAGTTGATCAAAATGCAAATAATCCAAACTTTGGCTGAATTGAGATACAAATCAAAATTTTATTTAAAATTGAGATTTAAATAAAATATCAATTTTATTTAAATTGAGATAATGGGATCGGATCAGAACCCAAATGAATTCGGCAATATTCTTTAGGTAGATAAAAAAAAAGAAATAATAAAAACTAACCAGTTCAAGTCGTGTCCTGTCAGGAAACTGTCTCTGCAGCATGTCAATGCAAAGTGCTCTGTAGTTTGGGACATCATGAGTGTACGTAGACACTGTGAACTGGAAACGTTGATGGTCATTTGGACTCCAGTCACAGTACCTGAAACAAGTTTAACACAGAAATACCTCTGCTACTTCAAACAGCACTGACACATAAATTGCAACACTGCACTAGTACAAAATAGCTACTGTACCAGATGGTATAAAGTATTAAGCAGATTTGTATAATCAACCACCTGGGGAGAAAACCTTGTCTTAATCAGCAGCATAACATGGAGAAAAGTCACAATGTCAGTACAGACGTGCTTCACTTTATTCTGTAGAGTTCAACAAGTTCTGCATTTCCATATATTTACCAAATAAGAAGTTAACAGGATCAGGATCAGAACAGTTAGATTTTTAAACCTATTTTATTATCAGAAAACAATACAACTGTACTTACATGTCATTTTCTTGCAGCTGCTTTGTCAGCTTCTGGAGTTTGTCCTGGAACCTGTCTGAGAGGGACTGGAAGGCCTGGATCAGCGAGTCCTTCAGCTCTGGATAAGGGCAGTTTGCATTCAAAACCTCCTCAGGAATGGTTTCTAATCTCACCACAATATATGGAGTACCAATATAGTATTTCTGAAAAGAAAAACATAATCAACTGAATGTTGTTCTGTTCAATCACACATTTTGTGATTGTCCAAGTATGTTAATGTTTGTATAGTTAGATACATTTAGCTGTATTCTTTTTTTTTTTTTTTTAGATTTTAGGTTAAAAAAAAAGACATAAGAAATTTAATATGTGCTTTGGAAAATAACAATTTTAAACCATTTGACTACTGTAACAGGAAGAATGGGTTTTTCAAATAGACACATTCTTTTAATTAGTGGTGGCAATATTCTCCAACGAAAAAAAAAAACTGTAAAAGAAAGAACAGTGCCATTAATTAGCTAAATCTATTTGATGCAGTGTAAAACTGTCATGAATGTGAAACTAAAATAATGTGTCCTGAACCTCAGAGCAAAGCAGAACACTTTTTCTCAAATCTCATTTCAAGATTAGCTCAAAGAATTAGAATAACTAATAATTAGTGAATCAAATTTTAATAAATTTGCCTAATCATTTAGGACTCAACACACGACTTACCACCTTTCATCCACAAATAAACAAAAGAACTGAATTGAACCTAAAATCCAACAAGTGGAGAAGAACAAAAACTGAAATAAGACATAGTTTTAGTAATATATTGTGAAAAATGCCATTTCCTGCCTTGAGGAAGGCAGGAAATGGCATTTTTCAAAATATACATTATAGATTTAGATTCCTGCCTTAAGGCAGGAATCTAAATCTAGATTTCTGTATAATAACAATTACTTTATTGTAAAAGTAATTGTTTTTTACAATGTTTTCCCAGATTTAATTCTCAGAGTTCCATGTTTTGCATGGTAATTACATTATTAAAGTTAGAGAGGCGAATAATCATGTGGTAATATTTTATTGTTGGTCTGAGGGAGTGATCTGCCCAGGCTGTAAATGAGTGTGTCATTTACAGTTGACACACTCACTGTAAATGTGAGCGTGTCAACTGTTGGAAAACCTTAATCTTTTCATACTGTGTTTTATGTCCAATTCTTTCCACATTTTCAAAACTCTAAAATTTGTCAAAATTCACTTGCTGTCCAGCAGATGTAGAGTATACATGGTATGGAAAAGGGCGATCAACTGAGAAGCAACCTAACAGCCAGTAATAAACATACCTCAAAGCCAAAGTCCTTGATCTGCTGCTCTATGTCCTGGTACTCTTCATTAAGCTTTGCAATTACATCTGTTTGTTGGTCTTTCACAGAATTGATCTGGCAATTCAAGAGTGACACATGAAAAATGTTGATTATTTATTTTTATTAGTGCAAGTCAATAAAAACATTGATTCGGTGTGTAACTCCATCTATTCATTAGTTTAATGACAAGTGTTTAAAAGGAGATTTCTCAGCTTAAAGTATTCTGTATTTAGTCTTCTACTCATTGACAATTGGAAAAATCGATTGAATGATTCACTGATGGGACCTAATTAGTAACTGCTTGTTTTCCAAAATGATTCATATGTTCTCTGAATGGAAACATACACTTAGAACAGAGCATGAATGGGTCGCATTGTTCTGTCATACCGAAGAAATTACAAGAAGGTAATATTCATAAATTGCATTGATTTGCACAGTTGTTTGGCTATGGGAGGGAATATCCAAATGGTGTCGACATCTCTGACTGTATAAATACTGAACAAATTCAAAAGTCTTAAGTGAGCTCCATGGAAGTCATCTGCCAGCTGGAAGATTCTGAGTTCAATTCCAGCTGCTTCCACATGTCAGAGTGCCTTAAGGCAAAACACTGAACCCCAAGTTTCCTACAGGTATATGGATTAGCTAAGCAAAAGAACTAGTTGACTAAAAAACAATATTTACATTTCGTCAATTTACCATTTAGGTTAAATTCACCCATTTCTATCTGTGCCTCGCAAAAGTACAACTGTCCGAAAAACAACTTTTTTTCAAAAGGTACCACTTCTCACTCAGAATTGTACGGATTGTTTTGCTGGATCTTTAGGACGGACAGCTTTTCACCAGCAGAGTCAATATGTCTCTAAAATGCAGTGTACAGACTGGGTGAATAAATACAACTACATAAAATCAAAAGTTAAAGTAGATTCATTTTTCTTAATTTAACTGATAAAAACTGACAAAAATCTTTTTTAATCTGTTAAGAAATTTTGACTGTGATAAATGCAGATCTTGTAAAGCCAGCCTTTTTCAAGGTTGATGTGACTAAACTGCAGACATCCAGTTGTATCTTCATGCCACATCTGAGACATACCTGTCGCTTTATGCGTTCCCAGTTTGACATGCGTTCACTGAGGTGCTGATCCGCCATCTTGGCCAGCCTGAAGCACAGGTCGTCTTTGAGCTGATACAGAGGCACAACAGTAGCTACTCTGAATGCTTTCCGTTCCTTTTCAAGAGATTGCCCTGAACAGCAAAGATATATACCTTGAAATATATATATATATATATATATATATATATATATATATATATATATATATATATATATATATATATATATATATATATATATATATATATATATATATATATATATATATATATATATATATATATATATATAGATAGAGATAGAGAGAGAGAGAGAGAGAGAGAGAGAGAGAGAGAGAGAGAGAGAGAGAGAGAGAGAGAGAAGGACAGTTAATGTGACTTACTGTATTTCTGAAGTAAGAAGACGGCAGTGTCTGTTATATCATTTGGCTTAATCTCCTTAAAGAATTTTCGGATATCATCCTCTGCCTGCTCCCTGTTTTGCAGAAGAAAGAAAATTCAGTTTGTATTCATTAAAGACACTCAGCTCAAATGTAGGACAAGAAAACACCTGATGGTATCTATAAATATATACCATGAGGTTTTACAAAGACACTGTGATAAAACGGGTAATACACCTGAAATGAACGTTCTTTTTTTCTCTCTCTCAAATACATGATAGAACAACCTCAAAAATGTCAAGTGACTCCAGCACAGAATGATTTACGACCTACATAGCATTCCCACACCCTTGTGTGTTTAGCCAAGTAAAGGTCAGCTAGCAACTGGCAGAGGGCAGTACGGTTGGCCTGCCATGGATAGATCCATCGATGGGCACCTTTTATGAAGCATGTATCACTTCCTATATGACACCATGATTTCAATTCAACATGGGGTGAGATTAAAATTGGTTTCTCTTTTTAACTTATTTCCTTTTTGTTAACTGTAAACATTCATCCTGGAATATATTACAAAGATAAGACAAGTGCAGGCAGGGAATCCTTGCTTAGTCCCAGAAAGAGCACAAGAATTGTTATACAGATTTAATTTGTAGTTTGGTAATTGTTTCTGATGGGAAAAACTCTCAAAAAAGAATGTGTTGAACTTTCCAAAATGTTCTGTGCTCCTGCTTATGACAGGGCTTGTGGAGAGATGAGCAGTTAGAAACATCCATCACACAAGAATAATTGACTTTCACTGAAGGTTTTTCAGACAGGATGTCTGGTAGCTCTGGTACAAATTGAACTTAAATGGCGTGTGGTGGAAATTACCCACGAATGCTGGCTTTTTAGCAGCTGGCCTTAGGTTTGCTATGACTGTGTGAAAAAGGACTTGGTTTGTGCACCATAGCAATTTGCCAGTGTTCAATGTGACAAGGTAGCTTTCACAAGGTATTCTGTGTCTGTATGATGCAAGAAGTGACATATCTAGATGACTCATTACTGAGGCTCATAGTTGTGTATATCATTAACCTTGGTTGGCTCAGACACAATCATCACAAAGCCAAACAAGCTGCACCCCAGAGCTAACACTGCCCTTCTCACTTCACAAAACAGGACACTTCTAGGTCCTGATCACCCACTGCTGCTTCAACACAGAGAAGGGCAGACAAAGTTTCCCATGAGATGACACAACTATTACCTCCTACTTCTCCAGGTCACTCCACTACCTCAATTCATCCTTAAACTCCATCAGAAAATCAAATTAAGGCTCTCTTTCCTCCATGGGTCTATTTTTCTTCTTCTTCGATCTGACTTGGTTTCCTCTTTTTTAAACACCCCCATCTTTGTCATGCAGATTTTTATGCGGGTGCAATAGGAGCTTAAGCGGAATGGTTTCTTTGTGTGAGAAGCTGATTCAGAAAACTGCAGCAGATAATGACAAGCAGTTATAGTGGGTACTTACTCAGCTTTTTGCAGCCTGGGACATTCTTTGCTCCACACCTGCCGGTGCTGTCGTAATAAGGAGCTCTCCTTGGTTGCCTTGGCTGCACAGCACGTCTTCTCAACCTATAAGACAAAGTTTATTCCACAAGAAGAAAAGAGAGTCCATAAAGGGGATTTTTGCTTTTAAATGTCTATAACGTATAACCAGAAGGGGGTTGGGGGGAAAGAAACACATATTTGACCATTGAATTTGAAAAGTTTTTGAAACAGAGTTTAAAAATTAATAGAATAGATAGCATTACACACAGAGCTGTGAGGCAGGTGACGTTTTAATAAGAAAATATAAGCCTTTTACATCAAAGTATAATGACAATTTTTCTGGAGACATTTCATTGTTGTCTTGATTCGCATAATTGTATGTGTGAGTCTCATAAACTGAGGTAATTCAGCTGAAACCCCCAAATAAACAGGAAAATTCAAATAACCAAGGAGACACATGCATGATGCGCATGAGGCATGTTATTAGGAGAGGAAGAAGGATGCAACACTCTTAATCTGGTAACATTTATTCTGCTTTTTCAATGCTGCCCGTCCTTTAGAGAACTGTTAGGGTAGACATTTATTTTATTTTTGTATTTATGCACAGACCAGTGATTCAGATAATTGTACTAAACAAAATCTCACATACAGCGTCACATACATTGGTACAGTGTGTTTATCACAAACAGGACGTCAAAAGGACGTCCTGTTTGTGCTAATTTATGGTCTGTTTGTGTGTTGGAAGGCGACTGCTGTTGATCCATGAGACATGTGCACATTTTCAACTGAACATCTATCTTTGATGTAACATCCATGTTCTAATAAAGCAAAATGGTTCACACAGACTTTCCCAAGCAAAGACAAGTTTCTAATACAATTCTAAAGACATTTTCAAAATGTCTGACCGCAAACAAGATCACTCTGAAAGCAGACCGCAAGATGCTAAAAAGTTTTTAAAAATCTCAAACTGTCATCGTGAGTAGGAACTTGCTACTGGTAATATACATGTATGCCTGTGCGACCAGAAATAGACTAACCTATTTGCAGGACTTTGTAGGTGCGGATTACGGTAAGCCGCGCCTACAAAGTTTAAAACAAAACAAACAAACAAAAAAAACAACTGGAAATGTACATATATAGTCCGAAAAATACGGTACACAAGTTGAGCTTTCATGAGATGTGGGCATTGTGGAAAGCTTTGCTCTCTGAGAAAAACATGAAGTCAGCAGAAAATGCAGACAAAGAATGCAAACTTCAGAAAGGCATATCAAGGAAATATTATGGTTGGGTTTGTTTTCGCTGCAGGACCTGACCATCATAAAATCTTCCATAAATTCTAGTATATATTAGAGGGTGCTTCAAGAATTGGACAGTGCAATATGAAATTTTTGCTTTTTTAAAGATATTGTTGGATGATTTGAAATACCCTGAAACACCAAACACATAGCTGAAAGTGGAAAGTGGGAAAATTTCTCCTAGGAAGGAAGTCAGATATTGACAGATGGCTACTAGAGAGTCAGCTAAAGAGGATAGCATCAGCTATTCAATTTATGTAGTAAGATATTCTAACATTTTCTTTAGCTAGAAAACATTCTATTTTTGTGAATAAAGTTTTCAGAAGTAAAAACATTTTTGTTCATATTTAAATGCATTTAAATCACTTCACTAATACAAAAAAACAAAATCTGATTAGATATGTGAAAATTTCTTAGTGAAGAAGAGAATATTTTATGGCGTGTCAACCTAAGAGTCTCGTCTCACCAAAATAAAATAATCAATCAAAATGGGCCTTAATTTAGTGTGTGAAATTATCTGGTAATTTTATTTTTCTGTCATGAGTTGTGTCGAATAAGAACACCTTCAACAACAAAATATGCCGGTCCACAGCTTGTAACAGATTCATAGTTCTCCTGAAAGTCCTCTTAATACTGAGCCATGGAATTATTGTGTGTATCCAAAGCTTTCTATCGTCAGTATCAGGCTGTACTGTTTAAATCCATGTCCTTCCCAACAGAGGACCTTTTCACAAGGAACACTTAATCTTTGAGGAAAAGGAAAAACATGTTACCAATAAAACAAAAGATAGTTCTGTTCTAAAACAAAATGTTCACAGTTTGGATATATATAAATTAATTGCCATTGCACAAAGGAACACACATTGCTACATTTGAAAAATATAGCAATGATTGATGCTCACTTTCTGCTAAATCTTAAATACAACAAGGAAATAGATTGTGAGAGCCAGATTGACTGTCTTTCCCAGTAAGTTCATCCATCCAACTATTTTCTATGCCCACTTGGGGACAACTGCTTATTTGCATGTTGGATCCCACTGAGAGTAGACCAAGAACCTCCTGGAGGGGTTATTTACAATATATATATATTTATGGTCTGAAAACACCTTGGAATTCCCCAAAATAAGATGGAGAGTCTGGAATTCCCTTCTGATCCTTCCCATAATTAATGGATCTTGGATAAGCAGAACCTCATGATACTCCGTTCTTTCCACCAGTGAATTGTTTGTTGTAGTTCTTCCAATGTTTTGTTCAAATAATCAGGTATTGGCGTATAGAAATGCCCTTCTGGGTACCTTGGCCACCTGTCAACCATTCTGTTTACATCTTAGTCCTGAAAGATTATTAGTTTTCATATACATATAGATTTCATATACAGATATTGCTTTACTGGATAGGAAATCTTGAGAGGATTAGATAACCTTCCATGAAAATCGCTGTCTTTCTTTTTTTTAACTCTATCGCAAGTAAACAGATAAATACATTTTGTCTTTTAGTCACTGTTTTAAAAAATGCTTTTGTTCTATTTCTCTTATCCTAACCTCAAGATACAACAGACATAACCCCAAAGGTTTACAGTGTATTTTACAGAAAAAACAAATAGTGTTTTTAAACACAGCCTGAATTATCCACAATGTTAAACATATTTCAAACTTGTAGCAACTCAGGATTATTTATTTACCTCCTATGTTGTCACTGAGAGAGATGTTGGAAAGGGCTTCCCTTCAGCTGTGTGACTGAATGTGAATACATTGGCTGTCTTATCTTTAATGTGCAGAAAGCCGCATTGGAACAAGCCAAAGGCATGATGCAAAAAGACTTCTGACAGCTCACCAATTAAAACAACATAGGCCCAACACCTTAATCACCACTGGTGTCACAATAACTGCTCTGCGTAGTCATACAACATACAACTAAGAACTTGAAATGGTTTCTTTTAAAACAACAAAGAATTAAATAAAACTTTGCAAAGCTGTTATTCTCCACTACAGTAATTTTAATACACCCTTTCATATTTCTGGACTGAGTAAAAGTGAAAAACAGTACTTTATAAGTGTTCTATTCATGTAGTCAAAATATGTTATTTGATACACATATCAAATCATATCAAGTCACGCTGTGTTATAATCACTCATCAAACTTTTTGTCAGCTTGTGCCCTGGTAAGGGTACAGAGTGTCTTTACAGCAATTTCCTCCTCATTTGCTGCTAAATCACAGCGCTAACAAATGTACCAAGAATTAATTTCATACTGCATTGTTTTAGGGCATGGATGATCCTGATTACCAAAATCTACCTTTTGTCCAATGAGATGGTACTCCCGACGTCTGGCATCAACAAAGGCTCGCAGCGTTTCATATTCAGCCAGTTTGTACTTGGGGCTGCCAACACCATTTTTCATCCGCAGTGTCAGTTTTTCTGCATGGATAAAAGCAAATGATATGGCTGAATTGGAATCCTTGAAACTCTTGAAAATCTCATCAGTTATTGTCTGAAGTGAAACCAACTAAGAAAATAATACAGAGGCAGACAGAGGGACTATATCAATTGTAAACTGTATGAATATTTCAGAAATTACTGCACAGAGTGGATTTAGCAGACAGTAAACTCAAGCTGTCAGACATATTTTTCTAAGTGCTTCACCTGCTACTCTGGGAGGAAGGTGAAGAAACACAAAGCAATGTAGCCTCTGACAAAAACATCAAAAACCTGACAGCACCTGGGGCTTTTAATGGGTTTAGTGAGTCAGAGATATACAAAAGTTCAGTAGGCCATTTTATCAGAAATCAGCAACATCTTGAGCCAATTCTCAGTTACTCACCTGCATCTTGTGCCCTGTAGCTTGTTATGAATCTGGACAGGTTCCTTGCACTTGTTTGGTCCATATTTTATGAATTAGATTCCTTTACAAATAAAAAAATGATCATTGCATTTAAAAAATCATAAAGACAAAATAGGCACATTGCTCTACTGATACACAGGCAAAAAATAAAGAAATCAGGCCATTTCTTGTTTTACAAAATTTCTGAGGAAAGTGCTTCTAAAGATGGAGAATCAGAAACAGAATGGCTAAGTCAAATTATCACAATTCTAAATCACAGTAAATGCAGAGTTGTGCAGACTAATATGCTGTGATATTGCAAAGTTCACTGTAAATATATCAAAACAATGCCAGTTTTTAAAATAATTAAACAGAAAGTTGCATCAACAAAATATTACACAGTATTTTTAATGAGTAAAATATAATTCTCGATTATCATTGTGATTGTAAATTTCTCCAGAATGTATTTTCATTTTTGTTTTCAACAAATTTAAGCAACCTCTATGATTATTGGTGTCTGAGGTGTGTAAAAAGGTCAAAATAATATTTTTTTTTATTGCAGTCGTGTTATTTGACATCAAAAGAGGTAAAGCCTATCTTTGAAGAAGTGCATTATTCAGTATGAAAAAGTAGATTATTATTTGCTTATTTCTGATTATTTGCTCTTTTCAAAAGTTATGTGGCACTATGTGCTCCAACAGGATTCATATCATTTCTGTGTCTCTTAAAAGAGGAACAAGCCCACAGTATCTGAGATCCTCTATATTATACTTAAGAGTGGGCATGAGACCATAAAGTGAAGCCAGCTTCATCTTAGTCTTTTAATTTTACTAAACCATGCATTTCCTGTTAAAGTACTGATGGAGTTTAGCAAACGTCAACTGTTTGCATTTGGGATGGGAAAACATTCCTCCCATACAACTAGTTGGAAAGTAAATACCATCTATTGGTTGTTATGGAGATTGGGTGACCCCCAAAGATGCTGCTCTTTGTCTGTGTGAGTGTGTGAGTGTGTGTGTGTGTGTGTGTGTGTGGGGGGGGGTGGGTGGGGGGGGGGGGGGGAGGGTGCGTATGCATGTCTGTAGATCAAATTTCTGTTTAATGGGAAGTTTGTTCTTTTAATAATCGACAATCTTAAAAAAATGCCACTACAGGATAAACACTTTTCGTCTGGACAGATGTACGTATCGCATCAAGATACAAATAAGTTATTTGAAAAAGCATGAACACCGAACCCGAACTTCTAAAATCAAACAAATTAGACCTCAGTAAATTTTTATGGGTTATCTTTACATAGGTCTTATAAGTATTAGTTGTCATGACAGAAAAATCAACATCTGTTTACTTAATAAACCATCTAACTTACCTAGTTTTCCTCTCTTTAGTGTATAGGTTGACAAACCACAGTAACCACGGTAACTCATCTCTGCTCTAACTGGCCGTTTTAAGCGTACGTACCTCCTCGGAAACGCCTACTTATCATGTCACAGCCAATCAGGAGTGCGCTTTGGTTTCCCACATTTCCAGTTACGTCATGTCAGCTCGCTCTGGCTGGGACTGCTGCTGGAAGCAGCGAAGGGGTTGTCTCTTCTTCCCCTCCAGTATGGACACGAGTTTCGTTCTTCCACATGCATGGGAGTAAACTGGACTTTACAGATGAAGTTACGCATTTCCACGTAGGTCCGAGCCACAGCTCAGCCCAGCGCAACACCTGTCCTCCAAGGTATGTGAATTGTTCTTTTCTTGTTTGTTTTTCGTGGCATTTCCAACTGCAGAGTAATTTAGGAGGGCAGAGCATCTCTGCTTCTCGGAGAAGAAGCAGGAGGGAACGGGCAGCTGTTTCAACTCTGAAAGTCAACATTTTTCGGAGAAAACCAAGATGGAGCGCTTTATTTGCGAGTGAAAGAGAAGATAAGCTATTTTAAAGCTTCTTCTCAGCGGGAAACAATCCAATTCCCCGCTAATCTTCTTCTTTGGACCGTTTCCTCGCAGACCGCGCTCACCTTTCAGGGAGAGTCCTCGCGCTGTTTCTTCATGTCGTCCCTAACCGTTGCTGGGAAAACTTAGCTGGATAGCGCAAATATACAGTTTCTGCACCAGTTTTTTTTTTTTCTTGAAAAGAACTCGCTGTATTTAGCGAACATGCCACTGTAACCTTGCTTTGTAACCGGTAAAGTAAAAGGCAGGTGAGTTTTAGGAGTGTGGGAATCTCTGGAATGCGAGTTTGCAGAGAGGCGGAGATCCTAATTTCTCCTGCCCCCACTATATTGACTTTACCTTCTTTTTTTTTCTTTTCTTTTTTTTTAAACTCCCACGTTTTACTCGTTACGTTCAAACTACGCCATATTTAATTACCCTAATCTGCATTTTTTAAACCCAGGGGCGTTTCTTCGAGCTCCCATTGCTGTGTATTGTGCAGAAGACCGACCTTTAGATAATGGGCTTTGTTGCCACCATGACTGCTTGAGAAAAACTCTTAATTATCTAAGCTAATGTTTTTACATGCAGCATGCTTATAACGGTACTAATTGGGTAATTGTCTCAAATATCATGCCACTCACCCAAGAATTATATTATTAGTAAAGGATGTCATATTCATGGGGATTTTCTGTTGTCACTTAATTAATTCAGTGGTCTAGACTTTATCCTAACTGTAACACTGCACACATAGGAATAACAGGTAAATAAAGTGATTACTGGCTTCAGTTTACAATGACAGCACATAGTTTTAAAGGCAAAGGGGAACATTTTTTCAAAATTGGCACATTTTTTCATCCTTTTTTGTTTTAAGGTTATGTTTCTTTTGATACATTGAAATTTTCAGCAAATGTTGCCCTGTGCAAAATATGTCCAATGACATTTGTGATCTCAATAGGAATATATCACAGGACTACTTGGTTGCAGTGTTTGGTACACTAAATTAATTCAAATCAATGCATAAAAACTTTTTTTTACAGTATTGACACTTGCATCTTCTTCATTGCCCATGACTGATATAGAGCTTAGTGAGCAAGATCAGGAAGGTCATAGAGGTTGAGGAATTGGGATGACACATTCTTTCATAAAGAAAAATATTTATTTTTTATATTTAAAATCAAAGTAGAAAGTACATGGTGTCATACATTACATTAATAAAAGGAGAAAAAAAATCACAGAACTAACAGACACCCCTTTTCCCCCAAAAGTATTGTTTTAAAGAATGAGTATTATTTACTATTAACAGAAATATTTAAATTTATTCTTGTAAGTGGAGGAAAAGTGAGGCTTTCAGTCAACCAACTGAATATCAACAGGTGAGAAAGGGGTGGCAAGAGTGCTATTTTAATGCATGCATCGGTTGTATAATTATTTTATTTATTTGTGTAAATAAATAAGGGACTTGACAAACACATGCCAAGTCCCTTGTTCCACCCAAATTCAAAATGTAATTGATTTGATTTAGTTTGTAATATAGGGCACCGTCTAATGCAGCACTAAATACACTATTGAGTCTCTTCTTCATTCTGTAGCTTACATAAATCCTGGTTTATAGGATGGGTTTTCTGAAGTTCTTGGGGTTTTCTGCTAAAGTAAAACAACCCTTAAAACAATTAATTTATTTTCAGAATTGACCTTCACTTCTTTAATGAGAACTTCCCACAAAAATATGGTACGATTATTTCAGCTGAATTTGCACAGTCATTAGTGTTGCTTAATTTGCATAAAAGCAATCAACAGGAAAAACAAAAAATGTCACTTTCTAATTGTCATAAATATTCCCACACAATTTTTCTCTTGTTTTGAGCTTTAGCTGGTTTTCCCTGTTTTTTTTTTTTTTTTTTTTGTCAATCACATATTTTTACTTCAGAGCTTTTAACAACTGCTTTTCTATTGACATATCATATTTTTTAAATGAAAAAGAAGGTATTACAGCTGTGGGCATGTCTTCCTTCTAAAGCCAAATTGGAATTGTAAGCTCATTAAAAGAGGCAATTTCTTGCTTGTTTTTTTCTTCCAACAAATGGTGAAAGTCAGCCTAATAAATGAAGATTGAACAGTTTATTGAAACATCTCGAATAGCATTGCAGTCCCACTTCTAAAGCTTCAACTGGTTTGAAAAACATCATCACCTAATTGTTTGGGGGTAAAGAAGGCTACACATTTTGGTAATGATAATAGTCCTTGTCTCCTTCTGCCTCTGAAAAGGAGCATTCTTTCAGATTTCATCATGCAGAAGTGGACAGGTTATCTGCATGCCATTGTGTAAGTGAGTTTTATACTGGAACACTAGAAGTTCAGATGCTTTGCTGTCTCTTGCAGTCATCCTCCCTTTTTCTCACACCGTCAGACCTAAGCACAGAGTGAAACCCTCCCCTCGTGATTCACATTACTGCACTGCTTACACACAGCCTCACAGCTGACAACCATCAGGGGTGGTTTTCTTTGGAATCGAGAGAGCAAGACGGAGCCAGACTTTTCCACTATCTTTTGTTGTTGCTTTGCAGTTTTTAGCTTATACCTAAGGTACAAGACTGTTTGGCCCATTGGATGTTCATTCTTAATTTTCAGTGGACTTCTTGTACAACTTGTTCTAATTATTTCATTATGGTTCCTCTTGTTTATTGTTCTTCTTTGAGAAAAATGTGATTTGTTTAAAGAGCAAAGTGAATTCCCTCACATGTGTGCTAGCACTGTTATGTTTTTGGGGAAGGCATTCTTTTTATAGAAGAAACAACCCCATCCTGTAGCAGACAAAACCGCAGACATAGCAAAGGTCGCTGGTGTGATTATTTGGCCCAGACTTCATGGTGAGTTCTTTTTAATGGAAACTGACAAGAGCTGAATAGCTTGGTAGTCTTTGGCAGGTCTGTTCTCCTTATGCTTTTTCACCCCCTAAATTCTGGCTAACATCAAGGCTTAATCCTTTACCCCCACATTGCGTGTCAGATTTCCTTTTTTTAAGCTTTAGTCAAAAAGAAGCCCCCTCCCACACTATTCCCCACCAATTTTTTGGAAAGAGAAAGTATTTTTCCAATCCCTTACTTCATAGTCTGTAAGCTTGGAAACAAAGTGGTGAGCTTTCTTTGTGTCTGCTAAAGAGCCCCCCAAGCACCCTCTCCATCCTCCCAGCTTGTCAAGACAAATTCAGTGTCCATTGTGTGCATCTCAGTCAGTTCTACTCCCTGAAAATGAAAGTTTTTACTGCATCTTTTGTTCAATTAGTGTTTCACCAAAAATATGGACACACTATGCAGACATAATTCACAAGCACACTTAAGCAAATAAAATATAATCTTTTGGTTGAAGAGAGAAAACTCTTAATACCCATTGAGTGATATACTTAATTTTTTTTCATTTTATTTTGGGGATAGTGGCTCATGAAAACCCAAACTTCAATTTATCAATTTAAAATAGAAAAGTTTATCCATTTTAAAATAAGAAAAGAAATAAAAATAATAATTTGGATGTAGAAATGTCAGCCTTCATAAATTATTGCATCAATGTTATGATTGGGCTGTGTGACTGCTAGAGCTCAAGGGAAACCTTGAGCTGGCTGCTACTAAAGCAGATGGCTTTAATAGCAGCCATTAGCTTGTGTACATTGTTGGGTTTGTTAACCCACATCTTCCCCTCGCAATACAGAATAAACTTGTGTTCAGGTCAGACAACTTTTCTGACACAGTGACATCATGGTCATTGAAGTGGTTTTTGGTACTTTGGGAGGATGGACAGGTGGCAAGTCCTACTGGAAAATAAAATCAACATCTCCATCAAGCTTGTCAGTAGAAGGAGCCAGGAAGTGGTCTAAAATTTCTGTGTCAATTGCTGCACTGCCTTTGGACCTAATAAAACAGATTGGATTAACACCATCATATGATTTTGCTTTCCAAATTATGAATAACTCTTGACACTTCATACTGGACCTGAAGCAATTTTGATTCTGTGCTTTTTCACTCTTTGTCTAAACTTCAGGATCTTGATTTCTAAATGAAATGCAAAATTTGCATTAATCTGAAAAGGACTCTGGAGCACTGTGCACAGTCCAGTACTTTTTTCTGCTTGGCTTAACACAAGGAATGAGAAAATGTTCTGGATTGATCTGTGTGTGTGTGTGTGTGTGTGTGTGTGTGTGTGTGTGTGTGTGTGTGTGTGTGTGTGTGTGTGTGTGTGTGTGTGTGTGTGTTGTCGTTTTAAACACTGACTCCAGCTGTAGTCCTCAATCTCCACCTGACTCTTGAATGGGATTTTCTTCCCATCATGGTTGTGGTTATATTTGTTACTTTTGAACCTTTTTCTATTACAGTTTTTTCTTCCACTCAACCTTCAGATAAGCTTGGATCCAGCACAGTGTGAACATCTAGCTCCTATCGCAATTACCTTTTTAGGCTTACCTTTCTGGTGGATGGTGTTAGTGGCCTTCTGCTGGACAACTGTCAAGTCAGCAGTCGTCCCTATGATTG